CTTCCCGCTACCTTCATGGCGTTGCGAGTTGCGAGCTGGTAGCTCTCCTCCAACCGGTCCTTAAGACATTTCACATACTGCGAGAGAGACTGGGAGGAGTCATTGACTGGAAGTCCAAAAGCAAGATCCACGGGCAATCGAGGCTGGCGTCCGAACATCATTTCGTAAGGTGAGTACCCTGTAACATCGTTCTTTGTGCAGTTGTATGCATGCACAAGTGGTTTAACAAATTCCTTCCAGTGGGCCTTCTTGTCGTTCTCCAGGGTTCCTAACATTTGCAGCAAGGTCCTGTTGAACCGCTCCACTGGGTTCCCTCTTGGGTGATAGGGGGTCGTCCTCACCTTACGGATACCCGCGACTTTGCACAGCTCTTGAATGGTTCGGGATTCGAAATCTGGTCCCTGATCACTATGCAATTTTTCTGGAAAGTCATAGTGCTGTAAGAAATGATCCAAGAGACATCTGGCCACTGTCCAAGCCTTTTGATTTTTGGTAGGTATCGCAATGGCATATTTTGTAAAATGGTCTGTAATGACCAATATATCCTTTGCGTTGCTACTGTCTGGCTCTACCGACAAGAAGTCCATACAGACCAGCTCCAAGGGCCTGCTGGTATGTATGTTCACCAAAGGAGCTGCTCTCTGTGGTGGAGCTTTCCTCCGAATACAACGCTCACAGGTTTTGATTTTTCTTTCCACAGCATCAGGCATTTTAGGCCAATAGAACCTGGAACGGAGGAGGTCAAGAGTTCGCTCCAGCCCTAGATGACCCATGTCATCATGTAAACTGGTGAGTACCATCTCTCGAAGATCCTTGGGTAACACTAGTTGGCTCAACACTCTACCTTGATCCATTCTTTTTCGATACAACACTCCATTCTTGACTTCCAGCTTATTCCACTCTCTCATCCACATAGCCATTGTAGGTGACTGGGATGTCCTACCAAGGGGTTTTTCACCAGACTCTAGGTACTCCAGGACCTCTTTCAACTCGAGATCTGCTCGTTGTCGGCCTGCTAAATTTTCCTCAGAGAGGTGAGGGATCACAGGTAAGCCATGGTCATATTCTTCCTGGAATCCTTGGGGTAATGCACCCGCATCCATTGTCATGGACTCTGCTAAAGTCATCAAGACAGGGCGATGTCCGTCCTGTGACTGGCTGACCTGATGCTTCTCACACACAGCCTTCACTGCTTCTGGCAGGATCACAGACAGATCTTTGTCAGTTTCAGCTAAATGATTTAGGGTGAACTATTTAATCCTCTCCTGTTCTTTTTGAGACTCCAGATCATTCAACAACTGACCGTTTGGACATCTGGACAACCCATCGGCATCCTGGTTTTGGGCTCCTGCTCTATATTGGATCTTGAAATTATACGCTGATAACCCAGACAGTCATCTATAACTGGTGGAGTCCAGTTTGGCAGAAGTCAGGATGTAAGTTAAGGGGTTACTGTCTGTTACAACAGTAAATTCAGCCCCGTATAAATAGTCGCTGAACTTTGAGGTAACTGCCCACTTGAGGGCCAGAAACTCAAGTTTATGAGCGGGATATCTGGCTTCACTCTTGGTTAGTCCCCGACTAGCATAAGCAAGGACCCTTAACTGGCCTTCCTGTTCTTGATATAATGCGGCACCTAAGCCTACACTGTGCTGGCGTCAGTGTGTAATACGTATGGCAATCTAGGGTCAGCGTATCCCAAATCCGGTGCAGTTAATTTCTCCACAATTGTCTCAAATGCTTGCTGACAAGAAACATCCCATCTGTCGCCCAGCTTTTCTTTTGGGTCATAGTAATGACAGTTGACATCCTTACACTTTCTCCCTTTCCGAATTGGGGGATATCCAGCCGTGAGGTTGTTGAGTGGCTTGACTATTATAGAGAAGTCCTGAACAAACCTCCTATAATACCCAGCAAATCCCAGGAATGATTTCAGCTCTTTGAGAGTCTGGGGCCTTGGCCAGGTTTTAATGGCCTCGATTTTCGCTGGATCTGTTTCCACACCCTGTTGAGAAACAATATGTCCCAAATATCGCACTGAGGTCTTAAAAAATTTAAATTTTTCAGGCGAGAGTTTCAAGCCATATTCCTTCAGACGGGTAAGGACCTGCAATAGTCGACGTTCGTGTTCTTCGAGTGTCTCAGAAAAAACTATAAGGTTATCTGTGAAAACTAGCACCTCTTTCCGGTTCAGAGGGCCCATACAGCGCTCCATGAGCCGTTGAAAGGTACTGACTGGGAGCATTTGTGATCCCTTGCGGCATTCTATTAAACTCCCAGAATCCTTGTGGGCACACGAAGGCTGTCTTGTGTTTATCCGCTTCCTCCATCTCGATTTGGTAGTACCCCGACTTCAAATCCAGAACGGAGAACCACTTCGAACCGTTTAATACGGAAAACACCTCTTCCAAGTTGGGAAGCGCATAGGCGTCCTTTAAAGTTTGTGAGTTAAGTTTTCTGAAGTTGATGCAAAGACGTATAGAATTATCCTTCTTCCTCACCACCACTATAGGGGAGGCAAAGGGAGACTCAGATTATCTAATAATTCCGGCAGCCAACAAGTCTTGCAGGTGTTTGCGAACAGCATCGACATCCTGTGGGTGAATGGGCCTAGCTCGATGCTTAAAAGGAGTTTCATCACTAAGTTTGATGTGATGTCTCACTTTATCCGTATGACCATAATCCATGTCATGTAAGGCAAACACCTCAGGCATCGTGTTCAATAAAGCTGATATTCGGGTCCTCCACTCTGCTGGTAAAGGGGAATTACCAAAATAAAATTTTATCTGTGAGCTGCCAGAGTTCAATTGAGTCTGAGGAGCATCATGTCTTGGCTGTGTCTCAATCACGCACTGAACTGCATACATTTCAGCGATCACAGCTTTTGGTGGAACAGCAATGTCAGTCTGGGTGTCATTTCTCACCACTACAGGTAAACTATAAGAGCATTTAGCAGGCAAAGTGTATAGTCCGTTAGCCACTAATAATCCGCCTGGCATAGAAGACATTCCTGGCTGCCCTAGTGTTTTTCTGGAGAACGGCGACTTAGATGAACAACTCCATCAAGAACAGCTACACTCCCTGCTGACAGAATTTTAGGAGTAGTTCCCTTCAACGTTACACATCCCAGAACTTCAGTGCTCATTTACTTGTGTCTGACATCCAGAATTTTGAGTACTGCTCGATATCCATTAAAAGCTGGGTTGAGGTTTCCTGGGCTTTCTTGAGCATGGTTCGCATAAAGAGCATCCAGGGAATTGGTTCCCACAAGGACTTGGGGCATGTTCATCAAATCAGGGACCACTAGAGCTAATGTGGTAAATTCTGCTTTTACTCCCAAGAACTCCTTAGGCTATTGTAGAGCTCACTCTGACATTTCCTAAGTAGGGAACTGACTGCCCATTTGCTCCCTCCACTTCTAGTAAAGACTCAAGTGACTTCATAGGGTGATTAGATAGATGATTGTGGTAAAAGGAAAGTGGAATGGTGGTTACTTGGGAACCTGTATCTAGCAAACAATTCAAAGTTCCTTCAACAAACAACTGGGCAGTACACTTCATTCCAACCAATCCTATTGGTAATTTTCTCTGCATTACTTCTTCACAACACTTGTTGAATACTCCTCTAAGTTTGTTAGGGCATGTGGGTCTTTCCTCAGTTTCTGTACACCCTGCTACAGAGACTGATTGGAGTTTAACCGTGGGGATGCAACTCTATTTTTCAGGTCCCAATGAGCCTGTTTCTCCCTCAGCTGACGTTGTTTGCTTTCTACTTTGGCAGGATTTGGATCATTTTCACAATTTATGGCGATATGACTGTCTTCTCCGCAGCGAAAGCAGTAGCCTGGACGAGGTCGAGCCAAGGTCAATCCATCAGTACTGACTGGTTTACTCTCTTCCTGTCTAGACTGCTTGGGCTGTGACATAGCAGAAGGGCTCCTGAACCCGGATGTTCTTCCTGGCTGATGTTTCTGTGATTCTGAGACAGTTAATTGGGCTTTTAACTTTGCAACCTGTCTTGTTAAAACCAGTTAAACTCTGCGGACCCAGATACGGGTCCAAAATCGCGTTAAAAATGTTTATGCTTCATTTACATAGCCTTCCTTATATGGTATCAGCCCATATATGGGTTCATTTGAAAGCTTGGAGTGTCTTCTTTACAAAGAATACCATTACTTTTGGTTTTTTCCCACACACGAATTTCCGCCTAACCATTGCGAATAATTTTTACGAAGAATGTGTATTTTATATATTTTTCACAAAAGAGTCAAGTCATATATCACAAGAAAGCTCTCATTCTCAGGAATTTGACGATGTAGATTATTTCATTGTGTGACAATCACAGATCGGATGATCTTCGATAGAATCGCGATTTAAAATTTTGTCACCTCTGAGCGAATTTACATTTATACTCGTAGCACTGCTTCAGTCAGCCGCAAACAGCCACAAATATCTATATACTCTATATTATCTTTTAGATTAGGATCTCTTCTTTCAAACAAGACCATTTTCACATTTCTGCATGCTTCCATCGGTGAGATATATAGCGTTTTGTCCAGATTGCGCAATAGACGCGCAAACAGGCGCTCTGGCAGAGATGCGCTTCTCCATATCAAAAGCGCTCTCAGCCAGCGCGTCTGATGTTTTAGAGATCTGTGTTCGCTTGTGGACTTCATCAATTTCCTCAGCTTCTGAGCTTCTGTTCTGGACCTTTGGGGAAACTGCAGCTTCCACAGCTTGAACCTGGGCTCGTAGTTCAGTCAGTTCTTTTTTCAGCGAAGTCACATCCACCACTTTGGAACAAGAGGGCTGGCACTTCTGGTGAGTCAATGATTGCATAAAGGCAAGTTGGTTATGAATTTCTGATATTTGTTTTCTCATGGAGTCTGTTTCAGGGGCTGCTCCACTGGCTACCTCATGTGAGTGAGCAGACAACTGATGAACTGCAGCTCGTGACTTAGAAGGGGCTAGACCTTGTTTAGTCATCCTAAAAAAAGACTCCTCATCCGATCCTCCTTTGAAGCTTGCCTGCCTTTCTCCGCTCTGACAGACACTACTAGTTCAGCGAAAGAAGGTGGGTTATTCTTTCTCCCTTCCAGCTGAAGACTGACAATTAAGCCGTTATCCCAGCACCCGCGACAGAACTGCTTCAACAAACACCGATCGCTCTCCCTCTCTGCAATGCCACCTCTCCTCACCGCTGCACTTAACATCACTTGTAATCGATGCAAGTAGCTGGAAGGCTTTTCTCCCTGATTCTGCAACGTCGTCATGAACCAGCAGCACTTCCCCATCCTCCACTGATCCATACACTGATTCCAGCAACTCTAAATATACTGAGGGCGATGATTGTGGGCTAACATGTTTAATTACGTCAGCAGCAGGTGGAAGCAAGCTGTCTAGAATTCTTCTTGTACGAGACAAGTCTGAAACAGATGGATCATCCAGTAGGAATTCCACACTTGCTCGCCATGTTTCGAAGTCTGGTTCATTGGGTGGACGTGGAATTTTCCCTGAGAAAGATCTGAGACTTAGGGAAGTATGCTGGGCTGTCACATCACTTGTCCTCACAACGTGCTCAACCACGACTCTTTGCACACCAGGAGGATCTATCATATCCATAGTCAGAACTGGATGCGGCATCCCTGTGGCTGAAGGGTTGTTAATTCCACCAGTATTAGGTACAGTATTCATCTCATTCTCCTTGGACAGGTTTTGAGTTTTCTGGCATTCAACACCCAGCAATGGAGAAACGTTTGGTGAGAAAGTTCCATCTCTACTTTCTCCCATTCTCTGTGATGTGGCGGGTGAGCCACGGTCATTGAATGAACTGGTTAGTGCTGAGTCCCCGAGTTTGGGAGTCCGCTACATGACAGCTGGGCAACTGTTCAGTGGTAGGGCCAACTGACCTCATCTTTACTAACTCCTCTTGAAGCACTTCTTCAAAATATTTGCCAGTAGCATTAGCAATGGCTTTCAATTTTGCCAGATAGCCCTTAGTAGCATCATCTTTAACTACAGGTGAGTATACACTGCTTAGGGCATGCACAGTGAATATGACATCTGCATTTGACGTGCTAACAATACTTAAAGACAACAGAGGCTTCAGGTTTTTCATTGCAGAGCTATGTGCAAACTCTATTATAGCCTGCCGATGAAATTCAGATGTTGGGTCATCAATAAGCAGATTACGACTAATGCTGCCATACCGTACAAGCCATGCTTCTAAGTTTTGGTCAGATTCACTCAGTGTTATGCCATGACAGCATTGGAAACATTCACGTTTTCTCGTTCCACTATATCCATACTGTTAACACTGGGATAGCTTTGTAAGAAATTATAGTCTGCCTCGACCCAACTTCCACTCCAAATTGTGTATTAAACTATGCTCCTTTCTCTACAAAGAGCTTAATTATCATATAGATAGTTCTTTCCGATCTTAATCATATGTAAATAGTACCTCCAGAGCGATAATTTGTCACTTATAGCGTGGGAGAAGCAGCAGGTCGTCAAGAACCATCTTCTGACCAAAAGGGTACATGAAATAACTGCTATGGATTCTGTTTAATCTTATCACCTTAACATTTGGTTGGAACACTTGAGTCTACCGAAGATGTGGGAACGGAAGGCTATCACTTTCATTGACATCCGCAATTTTCATCTAAAACGAAACTTAATTATATTGGCAAATAAATCACACATTTGTGAAATATAATTACTATGACATTATGGCGCGCTAGCTTCGACTTTGCAATGCAATACAAATACAAACACAAATTTATTTTAATGAGGTTTCAAGATCATTTTTCGCTCCATTTCTCGTTTTCTCAGAGTATTACAGGCATTTCAGTCAAAACGTCCATCACTTCAAGTGTTCAAAGTAAAGCCCTCAGTCTGCTTTTAAAGATCCTTTAGAAAGAAGACTACCGTTGTGTCTAAGGTGATAGTTTCCACTTCTCCCATCTGGGCCTCACATGGTGGGCCTCACGCTGACAATTCTGCTCCACCGGACGGCTGAGGAAGAGAAAGATCCATCAAATTCAGTAGGAGGTGAAGCCACAGACAGGGAAAATACAGATGAGTTTGCTAATCAGTGACACAGGCGCATACAGTGTGTCCAGTATTCCCTAAGATTAATGATGGTTCCTCTTAAAGTCACTGCTGTCTTACTGTATAAGTGAAAGAACGAAATGGCCAATAAAAGCTACATTTTTAATCCAATTTAACTCAGAAAAAGATCAATGTAATTCTGATATCTGAGCATGCAATGTTATATTGGATGACTCAAATGGTTGTTGTAAGTAATTATAGTCTGCCTCGACCCAGCTTCCACTCCAAATTGTGTATTAAACTATGCTCCTTTCTCTACAAAGAGCTTAATTATCATATAGATAGTTCTTTCCGATCTTAATCATATGTAAATAGTACCTCCGGAGCGATAATTTGTCACTTATAGCGTGGGAGCAGCAGCAGGCCGTCAAGAACCATCTGCTGACCAAAAGGGTACATGAAATAACTGCTATGGATTCTGTTTAATCTTATCACCTTAACATTTGGTTGTTCCCACTTGAGTCTACCGAAGATGTGGGAACGGAAGGCTATCACTTTCATTGTCATCCGCAATTTACATTTAAAACGAAACTTAATTTACATGTTGAGCGGGAAGATGAACGTAGTACAGTATAAAATGATTGAGCTTAGGATGTTCGGGGTTCAAGTCTGACTCCGTTGAACCCAAGGTACTACATGTACGTTGTCACTATTATTCTGTAATAAAAGATATTCTTCATCAAGATCTTCGACGTCTTCACTTTTTCTTACATTGGCGAGCCACCCAGCGCAGGAGTTTCCAAAAAGCAGGAAAAAAGGTAAGAAAAGCGGTTTCTTTCTTTTTGCTGGATTTGTCAGGGAAACCCCTTCGTTTAAAAAAAA